ATAGAGGAGGACCATTTGGTCAAGAGTATATAAGTAGCTGCACTCCCCTGCTAGAACCTCCAAACAAGCTTTCAAGAATGTCCAAAATGCTGGGCACAGTGGTGCATGCATGTAATCTCAGTAACTCAGGAGGCTGAGGCAGAAGGATTACAAGTTCAAAGCCAGCCTCAGCAACTTACCAAGGCCCTAAGAAACTTAGTGAGGCCCTATCTCTAAATAAAATATTTTAAAAAGGGCTGGGGATGTGGTTCAGTGGTTAGGCACCCCTAGGTTCAATCTCCGGTACAAAAAAAAAATGTTCAAAGTAACAGTAAAAATAACAAGCCAACCAGAGCATGGGCAAAAGACATGAAGAGACACTGTACTGATGAAAATATACAGAGAACAAATATGTAGGTGAAAAATATTCAACATCACTATCCATTAAATGTGGACAACTCCAAAGGCCGGAAAGGATACAGAGAAACTGGATCACCCATATGTTGCTATGAGATTGCAAAATGTTACATCCACTCTGGGAAACAGTTTGCCAGTTTCTTAAAGTGAACATGCAACGAACATGACCCAGCAATTGTGGCCAGCCAGGTAGAATGAGCTGTGATAACTGGAATCTGACAGTGCTGTCTGCAGTCCTGCCAGCAGACATGGCCTACCCTCGCCTGATGAGAAGAAAAGATGAAAAATTTGAAAACGTGTAACATAATTTAGGACATTAACATCTGAAGAAAGTAAAATATAGGATAAGCGTATTAGGTGCCAAAGCACTTGAATCTCCCACTGATGTTTGGAAAATTCAACTTTAGAATCTTTGGGAAGCAGAACATGTTTCCTATTTCAGAAGCTAAAAATGCCAGCTATTTGCCTTCCCAGACTCCCTTGCAACATGGAGTCTGCAAAGTCACATGGAGTGCAACATGGAGTTAACAGGCACATGACCAATCAAATTCACACCCAGACTTGAATTAGAAGCTATTGTCACAAAGAAATAGGGATTGTGTGGGACTCTCTGCAGCAGGGAAGGTAGTGATGACTGAGTTTCTGGCTCAGCAGCTGGGGCAACACAAGCTTCAGTGGCCTGGTCTTGCAGCAGAAGCAGAGTTATGCTCACCAGACTGGTTCTGCAGCCTGGTTCTGGGCACTATTCTTGGCAGCATAGCTTCATGTCTGGTCTCCAGCCCAGAAGTCTGTGAATGTTTTTTGTTGTTGATTATTTTTGTTTTTGAGACAGGGTCTCACTATATTGCCCAAGCTAACCTAGAACTCCTTGGCTCAAGAAATTCTGCAGCCTCAGTCACCCAAGTAGCTGGGATTACAGATGTGTGCCACCACATCTGGATTAACCAATGTATTTTTTGTCCTTATTTACCTGTTTGTTTACTTATTTCCTATTTCAGAATCTAAAATTGCCAGATATTTGCCTTCCCAGACTCCCTTGCAACATAGAGTCTGCAAAGTCACATGGAGTGCAACATGGAGTTAACAGGCACATGACTGTGTGTGTGCTTTACTACCAGGAGTGTTTTATCACCAAGCCACATACCCAGTCCTTTTTTATTTTTAAATAGAGTCTCGCTAAGTTGCTTAGGGCTTCACTGAATTGCTCAGGCTGACTTCTAACTTATGATCCTTCTGCCTCAGCCTCCTGAGTCACTGGGATTACAGGCATGTGCCTCGGTGCCCCAGTTCTAATGTGTGTGTGTGTGGGGGGGGGTTGTTTTTTGTTTTTTGTGGTGCTGGGGATTAAACCTAGGGCCTTGTGCATGCAAGGCAAGCACTCTACCAACTGAGCTATATCCCCAGCCTCCAATGTGTTTTTAATCAATTCATTTTCAGTCTAAATTAGCCAGAATGTTTTCTGTTGCTTACAATGGAAAATTCTGATACCAACGCAGTAAAAATCACCAGCCTCAGGGTTCTTAGTCAAGTTTCTTTCTATATGAGCTTCCACTTCACTTCCTGATACTAACCTGATATTAACTGCATCATTTTCTCCACATTTCCAAACTTTTTTTGGCAGGGTACCAGGGACTGAACCCACGGGCACTTAACCACTGAGCTATATTCTTAGCCCTTTTTATATTTTGAGACAGGGTCTTGCTAAATTGTTTAGGGCATCACTAACTTGCTGAGGCTGGCCTTGAACTTGTGATCCTCCTGCTCAACCTCCCGAGTTGCTGCACTACCACACCCAGCTTCCCAATAATTTTTGCAGTTGAAAAACTATATAAATAGTAAATCTATGAATGAATTGAATCTTGCTTAAGTGCCTACTCCTTGTCCAGTAACCAGTGGTAAGCAAATAGGGGGCAAATTCATGTGGTTTTTGCATGGAATTCCTTCTGGGAACCAGTCAATAAGGTATTTCTTAGAAGTGTCAGTGGCCCAGCAGACTTGGTACTGGCTCTTTGAAACAGACACCTAACCTGGTCTTGGGAAATCAGAGAATACTTTCCAAAGGAAAAAATTCTAAGTGGAAACTTTTGAAAAAATAAGACTTAGGCAGAAGGGGGTAAAGAGTAAGGGGAAGTTCAGGCCCACAGGAAAGAGAATAATCAAAAGAGTGTACAGGGGGCTGGGTTGTGGCTCAGTGGTAGAGTACTTGCCTAGCATGTGTAGAGCACTTCCCAAAATTATTGGGAAGCTGGGCATGGTGGTGCAGCAATTCAGGAGGCTGAGCAAGAGGATCACACTGGGTTTGATTCTCAGCACCACATTTATTTATTTAAATAAATGAAATAAAGGTCCATAGACAACTAAAAAAATGATATTAAAAAAAAGAGAGAGTGTACAGCCAGGTGCAGTGGTACATGCCTGTAATCCCAGCAATTTAGGAGGCTGAGGCAGGAGGATTGCAAGTTTGAGGCCATCTTCGGTAACTTAGTGAGGCCCTAAGCAATTTAGCAAGACCCTGTCTCTAAATCACAAATAAAAAGGGTTGGGGTTGTGGTCCAGTGGTTAAGCACAAGTAGGGTCAATCCCCAGTACAGAGAGAGAGAGAGAGAGAGAGAGAGAGAGAGAGAGAGAGAAGTAGTAAAAGATGAGTCCAGACAGGTAGGCAAAGTACAGATCTTGCAGGATTCTGAAGGTCATGTAAGGGACTTTAGATTTCCTCCTAAAAGCAATAAGGAGCCATTGGTGACTTTAAGCAATGGGAGGAGATGAGCAGATTGCAGTTCAGAAAGACCACTCTGGTGGAGAATGGAGAGAAGGGAAATTAAAAAATCGGGAGACCAAGTAGGAGGCTACTGCAGGGAAGCAATTAGAGAGAAGAGAGTGCTTTGGAGTTGAGGGGATAGAGAGTAGATTTGAAAGAGACTAGAGATAGGTCAGAAGGAATTGGTGATAGGTTGGACATAAGGATTAAGGAAGGGAAGAAGTGGGGATGGGGCATCAGGGATTTTGTTTTTCAAAATTGATTGAATGGCTAGGTGAATGAATGGATGTTGGTATCGTTTGCCAGGTTGAACAACATAGAAGAAGCTTTTTGGATGATATGAGCTCAATTTAGAACATATTATTTTTGTGCTTGTGGTACACCCAAGGAGAGAAGTCCAAAAGGCATTGGAAACTGGGCACAGTGGCACACGCCTGTCATCCCAGCAACTCAGGAATGTGAGACAGGAGGATTGCAAGTTCAAGTATAGCCTCAGCAATTTAACAAGGCCCTCAGCATCTTAGTGAGACCCTGTCTCAAAAATTTAAAAGGGATGTGGATGTAACTCAGTGGCAAAGCGCCCTGGTATTACATTCCCAGTATATTAATGAAAGCCCAAAAGGCATTAAGATATATATATGTTTGGATCTCAGATGAGGGGTCTGGACTAGAGATATAGATTTGAGAGTCACTGAAGGTAGAGGTGGTGGTTGCAGGCAAGGAAATTAATGAAGATGACCCCAGTTACTTATGGAGTATAAGAAATGAAAAGAGCCTAAGAAAAAATTCTGGGGATAGGTTCACTGTTCAGGAGCAGAAGAGGAGGAATCCACAAAAGAGAACAAAAAGGTCCAACCAGGTAGGTAAGAGGAAAACCAAGAAAATTGGTATCACTTGCATGTAAGCCAATGGAGAGTCCTAAGCATGGAGTAGCCATGGGCATATAGGCTACAAAAATCAAATAAGATCATAATGAAGCCAGGAACAGTAGCTCACACCTGTAATCCCAGCAATCTGGGAGGTTGAGGCAGGAGGATCACAAGTTTGAGGTCATCCTGGACAACATTGAGATTCTGTCTCAAAAAAAATTATAATGGAGAAGTTTCCAATGAATGTAGAGGAAGGAGGGCACTAGTGACCTTAGCAAGAACCAAGTCAATGGAGTAAGTTGGGGGAGAAGTAGTTTGGGGAGAGAGAAGGCAGAGGGAGGTGAGGAAGGAAAGAATTAAAATTAGGCAACTCTAAAAAAAAGTCACACAACTCTAATCATGTAGCTATGAACGGAAGGAAAGAGTGGTATCTGGCGAGGTTTTTAAAAGCTGGACAAGGGTAGTGGTTAGAAGAGTCCACCCCGGATCTTCCCGGTATGGAATGAAAGAGGGAGAGAGTAGATCCTAAAGAAGAGCTTGGGGAGTTGTGGAGGGAGGCGATAAGGACTTGTGTTCAGAAGGGAGATTGTTCCCTGGGTCACAGGAGACCCTATCAGTCTGGCATTTCCTCCCCATCCTCATCCCTTTCCTGCCCCTGGCCTGACTCTCACTGGAGCTGGAAGACAGAAGGACGGAGTCACACCCTGGAAGAAGCTCTCTGTCTTTGGAGGTGTTTCTGTGTGACTGTAAGTTGGGGTTTGGGGAGAAGGAGGGTCTATCAAATGAGTAAGAGCCAAGGACATGAAGCTAGTAGTTTAGGCTTTAGGGGCAAGATTAGGAGAAGAGAGTGGAAGGTATGGAAACTGGGTTTCAGGAAGGGATTCTGGGAGCTACAAGTGTGAAGGTCCAGGACCTGGGTATATGATGCCAGAGGCTGGTGGGATGTTCACTCAAACTCCCATTGTCTACAGGTCCCCATGCCTCTCCTCCTCTTGTTGCTCCTGCTGCCAAGCCCCTTATACTCCCATTCCATCTGTGACATCTCCAAACCGGCCAGCCAACTGGAAGTGAACTGTGAAAAACGGAACCTGACAGTGCTGCCTGCAGACTTGCCAGCAGACACAGCTATCCTTCACCTGAATGAGAATCTCCTGGTTACCTTCTCCACCGCATCCCTGGTGTCTCTCACTCGACTTACTCAGCTGTATCTGGATACAAATCAGCTGAGCAGCCTGCAGACAGATGGAATGTTGCCACTTCTGGAGACACTGGATATATCTCACAATAAATTGAAAAGCCTGCCATTCCTAGGGCAGGCACTGCCTGCACTCACTACCCTGGACGTTTCCTTCAACCAGTTGGCCTCATTGTCTCCTGGTGCACTGAAAGGCCTAAGCAAACTTCAGGAACTCTACCTGCAACACAACAAGCTGAAGACTCTGCCCCCTGGGCTCCTGGAAACCACGACCCAGCTACAGAAGCTCAATCTTGCCAACAATAAGCTCAGTGAGCTACCCCCAGGGCTCCTGAATGGGTTGGAGGAGCTTGACACCCTCTACCTCCAAGCAAACTGGCTATACACGATACCAAAGGGCTTCTTTGGGAAACTCCTCCTTTCTTTTGTTTTTCTCCATAGCAATATCTGGTATTGTGACTGTGAGATTCTCTATTTCCGTCACTGGCTGGAGAAAAACCCAAACAACGTCTACGTATGGAAGGAGGGTATGGATGTCAAAGCTATGACCTCCAATGTGACCAGTGTGCAATGTAGCAATTTGAACAAAATACCTATCTATAGCTATGCAGGGGAAAATTGCCCCCCTATTGGTGATGTGGATGAGTATGATGACTATTATGACACTGACATGGTAGAAACCACAAGGACCATGGCCAAATTCTCTACCAACACCAAAGCCCATACAACCCACTGGGACCTACTCTACTCCAAATCTACCGCTTCTCTGACTCAAATGCCCTCTTTGCCTCTAACTGAAGAATTCACCAAGAGACAGACCATATTCCAAAACAGACAGATCCCAGATTCCTCCACATTCCCAACAGCCATAGAATCTACCACATTATCCAAAAGTCTAAACCCTACTAGTGAACCCATCACAACCCTGACCACACCAAACTCAATCAAGCCAGAATCCCCAACTACCCCAGAGCCCACCACAACCCAGACCTCCCTGGAGGTCACCACAATCCTGACCTCCACAGAGCCCACCACAGCCCTGACCTCCCCACAGCCTACCACAGACTTGACCTCCCCGGAGACCACCACAACCCTAATTATGTCAATACCCCCAATCTCAATCACCCCAGAGCCTATCACAGCCCTGACCTCCCTGGAGGCCACCACAACCCTGACTTCCCCAGTGGCCACTACAGCCCTGACCTCTCCAGAGCCTACCACAGCCTTGACTTCCCCAGAGGCTACCATAACCCTAACCATGTCAGTACCCCCAACCTCAATCACTGCAGAGCCCACCACAATCTTGACCACCACAGAATACACCTCATTCCCTACTAATTCAGGCTCCCTCATAATCTCTCCTGAATCTGAAATGGTCTTAGCAGCTCAAGGGAATTTTGATAGCGCCAGAAATTACCCTTTTCTCAACCCTGACATTTGCTGCTTTCTCCCCTTGGGCTTCTACATCTTGGGTCTCCTCTGGCTCCTGATTGCCTCTGTGGTCCTTATCCTACTGCTGACCTGGGTCTGGCATATGAAACCACATGCCCTGGACTCTGACCAGTCTGCTGCCCTGGCCACAGCCATAGAAACCACATATCTGGAGGTGCAGAGGGGAAGGCAAGTGACTGTGCCTCGGGCCTGGCTGCTTTTCCTTCAAGGATCACTCCCCACTTTCCGTTCTAGCCTCTTTCTGTGGGTACGGGCTAATGGTCGCATAGGGCCTCTGATATCAGGACGGCGGCCCTCAGCCTTGAGTCAGGGTCGTGGTCAGGACTTATTGGGAACAGTGAGCATTAGGTATGCTGGCCACAGCCTCTGAAGGTGGGTGGTTCAGGGGACCTTGAGTGTCTGATGGTCTCTCCTATTGGAATTTGGCTGAGGGTAAGGCCCACAGCATCACAGGGAGGACTTAATTACTGTTCCTTTATTTGAAGCCTCCTCTTCATATCCAGACACTCAACTCCAGACTGTACAAATCAAGAGGGGTAGTGAGATGATGGAGTTGTGAGGGTCACAGAACCAAGCTCCCTAGGTTAATAGGGTGTTGTCAGGCCACATGGTTAGTTTGGGGAAATTTAAGGAAAAGCAGATAAACAGAATACTGCATGGCTCCTACAGGCATCCTTACATAGAAGAAAATTTGTGAAGTGATATCAAGATGAGAGCACTGATTATCTCTGGGTATCATAAATATGGATCCCCCCTCTGCTTAGTGTTTTATACTTCTTGACCATCATTGTACGTTATTTGTAGAATAAAAAAAAAATGTAGTTTCTTTTGGAACCAAAGTGGTTGAGGGGCTTGTTACAATAATTCCCAAGGTCTCAACTTCCCCCGCCCTGGTCCCAACCACTTATCCAACAAACCTTCAGTCACAGCTGGCACTTCCTCTACTGCAGGGGTGGCCACCCACCAGCCACCTCAAGCAGAAACTCCAGAACAGAATAGTCAAGTCGCCCTGGAGTTGAGGGACATTGCTGAAGCCTAGCCACTGGTAGCCTGCAACCCTCAGGGCAAAAGGGGTTATCTGCTTACTACTGCAGCCTCAGAAATAGTTGGTAGGGAGGGTGCTTAACCATCGGGCCACATCGCCCACATCCCCAGCTTTATTTATTTATTTATTGAGACAGGACCTCGCTAAGTTGCTGAGGCTGGCTTTAAACTCAAACTTGGCAATCCTGCATCAGCCCCTGGAACTGCTGGGATAACAGAAGCAGCAGCACACTATTATACCCGGTTCCTGTCATTTCCTTGCTGGACTTGAAGTGCCTTAAGGACAAGATCCAGTCTTTAAGTGTCTCAAAATAGCCATAATACTCCAGGACACGGTATGCATGGTGGGTAAGAAGGGAGGCAGCAGCGAAGGTGTCAGGATGCCGAGTTTCATTTCTTGTTCCATTGGCAAGGCTCTGCCAAGGGGACAGCTCCCACCTGCTGTCTGCCCATCCCAAGGCCTGGCACACAGCCTAGCACTCCTCCCAGTATGACCTTCCCATGCCCCTTTATGTTCCAAGAGATTTGTAGGCTCCTTGAAAGCAAGGCCTAGCAACCACAATTCTCAATTAAGTGGATGAGGCAGTCACTCTCCTCAGCCAGTGCTGGTCTCTGGCCAAAATCCTTTTTAAACTTTGGATCAGCTCTATTGTCCACCCCCGCAATCCCTGCCCCCCAGCCCTCACCCCAATTCACAAAAATATGATTTTTTAGCCCCTCCCTCTTGAGGCTACAAAAGCAGTCACCAGATCCCAGAGGCTTTTCCTAGGGATTAATGTGAGATGATTTGTGCATCTGCTGCATTCCTGAGCAAGCAGCTGGGAAGCAACATACAAGGCCTGGAGTTTGGGTTTCTGCCCTATGCTACTATACCATAACTGACCTACACAGCATTTGCATAAAACCAGCAGATGCCTTGTCTTTAATAATTTTTCTTAAAAACTCCAGTTCCTGTTCTCCAGGGTATCAAATTCTTTGTCCAGACTCCTCCCCTGTTCATCCCCACAACTCTCCAGATTTGGGGGTGGTGTCATCAATCCAATTTATTAATCAAGTCCTCAGTGAGGGGAGGAAGGGCCACAGCCTCCCACTGCAGACCTTTCCACCATCTTGATAGCTTCTGGTTTCTTCTGTCTCCTCTGCTCTGCCTTGGTTTCCCCACAGAAAGGGGATTTTCTGCTGTCCTCTGTGTCCTAAAACTAATACCTAAGGGAAATCTAGAAATTCCAGCTCCCCCAAGGAACAGCCACTGATAGAGTGGTCATAAGAATTAGACCAAGCAGGGCAAACTGGAGCAGAGGGAAGAACAGATCAAAGTCCTTTAACACAAGGAGGAAACCAAACTGTGGAGGGGAAATAAATAGAGGGGCCCAGAGCAGCAGAGTCCAGGCTCCCTGGGGTGCAGTGACTGTAAGAACAATGGATGACTGGGAGCCCCGGCACATTGGCTCCAGGTATCCTGCCCCCTCAGCCACTGAGGAAGAGACGTTTGTAGGCCTTGTTCATCTGCTCCAAGAAGATGAAGGTGAGGACAGTGTGGGGACCCAGGCGGGCATAGTATGGTGTGAAGCCCTTCCATAGGCTGAAGAATCCCTCATAGCGAACAACCTTTATCAGCACATCCTAGACAGACAGACAGACAGACACGCAGGGTAACAAAGCTAGGATGTGGACTTTGGGACCCTGTCCCCTACCCAGCTACTGTCATAACCCTCCCAGGGCATCTGATACTATGACTCAAGCCCCCAGCCCTGCTTTCTCACCAGCCCATTCTTGTATTCTGGCTTCCCATCAATCATTCTCATGTTCTGGATCCTGAAAGAAAGGAAGCAGAGATGGGGGATGTAACTCAGTGGTAGAGCACTTGTCTAGCATGCACGAGGCCCTGGGTTAAAACCCCAGTACTGTGGGGGTGGGGAGAGAGAGAGAGAAACAGAGGAGAGAAGCAAGGGCATAAGAGACAGAAAGGGGGGGCCTCCAACACCTATCCAAGCCAGGCCTGCACACTTACCGGGTCTTGACAATGTCCACAGGCATAGAGGCGGCAGTGGTAACAAGGCCACTGATCATACTGGCACAAAAGTGGCATAAGATATTGTCAGAGAAGTAGCCTGGAGAGTAAAGCAGGAGGTGATAGTCAGTTTGCAGCAATCTGGCCAGGCTGGGAGTTAAGGGCCCAGATTTGGTTCTTACCTGAGTCCAGTAAGAACTGCTTAGATTGGGAATAGGAGGCAAGCTGGGCAGCATTGACAACAACAGCCCGAGCCATGGTAGGAATACAACCCTGAAAGTGGGAGAGTGAACGAAGAGTCAGAAATACTAGGGACCAGAACCTACAAGCCCTAAGTCTCCAGAGACTTTCCTCACCCGCCACAGTGTGGGGACTCCCTCTTCCCGGGCAATTCGAATCAGGGCATTAAACACGTTTTTATAGCCACGACGTTGATCAGCCGGAAGCCTGGAGAAAGAGTAGGGAGAGCCCAAGATCAGGACAGTCCACACTGCCCACAGGAGCAAAAAATGGGAGCAAGAGTAAGTAAACATTCTGCTCTAGGTCTGGGTTTAAAAAACTGGTACTTTCATTCCAGATTCCAAGAATGGGACTTGAATTGGGTTCAGTCCTATAACTCACCGACCATCAGCAGTCATACGGATAAGAGCCACCTCAGCTGGTGTTCCCACAAAGGCACCAGTTGCACCTGCAGTCATGCCAATCAGGGCCTTCAGCAGAAAACCAGGGGGTGTACCATCAGCCCCAGTCAGGCGCTCAAAAAGGACGGTATAAATGCCAAGGCGAGTAGTGGTGTAGGTGGCCTGTCGCAGGAGACCAGCTGACAGACTGAGGAGCAAAGGGGTCAGCGCATCAGGAAAAGATTTAGACCTGCCAACCCATACCCTTCTCCCCAATCTGAGGCCAGTACCCAGTGTAAATGCCCTTCAACCCTTCTGCCTTCAGGATGCTGGTGAGAGCATGGAAGCTGGTTTTGTACTCTCTTGTTTTGGCCCCTTCTCCGCTCAGTTGCATCCGGTTCTTCACTAGGTCCAGGGGTTGAACAAAAACTGTAGCTCCCATCCTGGGGGAAGGCAGGAGTGTAATTAAGGGTCAGGAGTTCCAGATCTACTAATGCCTACTGGAGCCTGGTAGCAAGAAGTTACGAAGGGGGCTGGGGATGTGGCTCAAGCGGTAGCGCGCTCGCCTGGCGTGCGTGCGGCCCGGGTTCGATCCTCAGCACCACATACAAAGATGTTGTGTCTGCTGAAAACTAAAAAATAAATATTAAAAATTCTCTCTCTTCTAAAAAATAAAATAAAAAATAGTGCTTTAGAATGGCCTTTGGCTCTGACAGCCTAAGTTCTAAAAAAAAAAAAAAAAAAAAAAAAAAAAAGAAGTTACGAAGGTCAGGGCCTGTCATGTGAGTAAGGACTCAGGAGGCTGTTGGACATGTTGGGCATGTAAGAGCAATGTGTCTGGAAATTATAGGTGTCCAGCAGGAGCCATGCAATGAAAGTGGTCCACGCAGCTCCATGGGAGTCAAGCAATGAGGGGACGAAATGCAGTTCGACCCAGGGAAGGGAGGAGGGGGACATCCATGATCTGGGACTCCAAGCAGTCCTTCAGGGAATCACTTAATGACCTGGAACCCCATTCAGCTAGACAGTGCCAAGCAGTAAGCTAGGAAACTCAGGTGGCTTGGCAAAGGTCGTGCAATGACCCCGCATGCAGTCCATTAGGGGTCCTGCAATGGGTGAAAAGATCTTGGCAGCCCATAAAAGACCTCATAAACCACTGGTGAGCACGCTGACCCCGTGGTGGCTCAGTTCACTGTAAAAGACCCAGAGAGAAACCGGGCCCAGTCCTTGCGCCCGTCCCTTCCTCCTCCTTTCCCATCCGTGGGGCCTGAGCTTACCCGGCCAGGCCCCCAAACAGGAACTTGACGGACTTAGGGGAGGTACGGGGCTTCCCGTCCATCCCGCCGGCCCCGGGGCTCGCCGTCGCCGCCATCGCCACTGAATGGCCCTCAGCTCCGGTCCCGTGAGCGCGCGCGGCCCCGCTCGCGCCCAAGGTGACACCGAGCGCGCAACAGGGCGAGGGCGCGCGCACGCCCCTCTGGCTCTCAGGTCCAGCACCAGCACCAGCACCAGCTGGAAGCCGGCGCTGGCGCAGACGTTCAGCGCAAAGGCGGCCGGGAGTAAGGCGGCGATGAAGGGGGAGCTTGAGGGATGCGTGCGGGAAGGGGTGTGGCTGTTTTAGGAAACCAGATTATACGCTCAGTTTTTACCGAATTAGAATCGCGGGAAACTGGAGAGGAATTTGTTTGGAAGTCTCGCGAGAGCGAGTCAGGCTAGCCAGAGTACGGAGGTCTCTCGCGATAGAGAAAGATTTCAGTGGCGGGGCGGAGGTGGGTGGTCACTCTCGCGAGACTTGCAGGTACGTCGGCGGCTGCCCGAGGGATGAGAGGTTTGTAAACAGGGCAACACAAGGGGGGATTACGGGCACTAAAAGGAACCGACTAGATCGTCTTCTAGGATTTGGTGTTCCCTGTATCTACTCAGGCATTCTTTCCATCCCTAACTTTTCCTTTAACTGGCCTTTTAGGACCGGAAGTCCTTCATCTTGAGCATCCAGTGTTGGAAGCGGCCTGACTTTCTTTACCGGAAGCCCTTTTCCGAGGGACAGGAAGAAGGCCCACCTGGCCGGAAGTCTCACCTCCTTGAGCTCCCCCGCCCTTCTAGAAGTGTTTCTGTCACCTGTGCTTACCTTTGGTCCCTTTATCCGTTTTATCTCTATACCAAAAAAGGATACATTTTGTGTCTTCCTTAACTCCACTAAACGAGTTGGATAGCTCACTCCCCGAGTCGGGGTTCTTTCCCTGGCGCCCCCATGTAGCTGAGAAGTGGGACCTGGGGGTGGTTGGACCCCTGGGATCCTAAAGGGGTCAGGAGGGCGCAGAAATACGCTCTGCCCCTTCTACAAGGACGCGACTTCCTCAACCTTTCTTCGCCCGCTGCCATGCACTCTGTGGCCTTCCCGCTTCCTGTGGTTGTGGCTACTGTGTTGTGGGGAGCGACCCCCATTCGGGGGCTCATTCGAGCGGTGAGTCCGAGGGTCGGGTGGGGGAAGGGCGCTGAGGGGACAGATTGCAGGCTGAGGAACATGGGCTTTTTTGTCCACAGACTTCGGAGCACAATGCCAGCATGGACTTTGCAGACCTCCCAGCTCTGTTTGGGGCCACTCTGAGTCAGGAGGGACTCCAGGTGACTTTCTTTCCATTTTTCTATATTCCCATATCTTGTCCTGGGTGGGGGTTGAGGAACCATGCCCTGGGTGAAGCTGGAGGTAGGAAGAGTCAGGAACTAATTTCATGTATACATCTGGTGTGGAATCCAGAATCTGGAGGTTGAAGGCTGAGTGCCCATCCATGGAACTCCGAGCTTATGAGGGAGACTGAAAGTGGACTAAGATGAAAAACAGGAGGAAGTGGCACTTATCAATAGGACCTCTGGAGCCAGCTATTGGTTGTATAGACATGGACAAGCTAATCATCTGAGGCTTAATTTATTTTAAGGTAAAATAGGATAATAGAAGTTACCCTAAGGGTACGGTGAGAAAGCAGTTCTGTGGTACTTCATGGCAACACTGCAAGAACTTATGCAATAGATATCAGTAGAGTTGTGTGAAATGCATAATTGGAAATTTGTAGGCAGGCAAATGTGTTATGTGTACATAAAGTTTAATTAGTGGGAAACTGGAAGGCCGAATTGAATTAGTTTGCAGAATGGGGTACAGGCTAGCCCATTTAAGAAAGGGAGAGGGGAAAATGAGATCTAGAAAAGAGATGTGATTTGTTTTAATTGCATCTTTTGGAAGATAAAAAGATGTAGGCTTCTGGCTTGGGTGGGATGCTCAGACCCCAGGGATGAGAAGGAAGTGAGAGAGAACATGTAGCATGCCAGGGCCAATCTACTTGGGGGCTCTGTGGGAAGCAGAACCTAGGGAGAAGTCCAACTGTTTTTGCTTCTGTGTCCCAGGGGTTCCTTGTGGAGGCTCACCCAGAAAATGCCTGCAGCCCCATTGCCCCACCACCCTCAGCCCCGGTCAACGGGTCAGTCTTTATTGCACTGCTTCGAAGATTCGACTGCAACTTTGACCTCAAGGTTGCTGAATGTGGAGTGGGAGCTGGGAAGCTGAGGGTAAAAAACAAGAGAGCCAGGAAAAAATGGCAAGGTCCATGATGCTTTCTTATCTTCTGCCTTGTCTTCGTAGGTCCTAAATGCTCAGAAGGCTGGGTATGGTGCAGCTGTGGTACACAATGTGAATTCCAATGAACTTTTGAACATGGTGTGGAATAGTGGTAAGTTTGGAGAATGTGGAGAACTAAATTTTCAATAGAACTCAGACTGAAGAGATAGTGGGAGGGCTGAAGGCTTAGGGAAAAGAAGCCAATCCTTTGGGTGGGATGGGGCAAAAGTACCAAATGCCAAGGCTCCCAAAGTATTTATTAGAGTGGAAGGTCGAGTTCCCAGTGTAACACCCTGATCCCTGCAGAGGAAATCCAGCAGCAGATATGGATCCCATCTGTGTTTATTGGGGAGAGGAGTGCCAAGTACCTGCGTGCCCTCTTTGTCTACGAGAAAGGGTAGGACATGTGCCTCCTTCCTTCAGCAGTTCCATGCCAACCTGGAGCCCAGTCCAGGTCTCACTGCCCCAACCACTCACCCTTAGGTCCTTTCTCCCCTGCCCATTCCTTTCCCCAATTTGGGTATAGTCAGAGCCAGTTTCCCAGTCTATCCTTTGTTCATTTGCTTTTCTTGCTTCTGAGACTGATCTTCCTTTCCTCAGGGCTCAGGTGCTTCTTGTTCCAGATAATAGCTTCCCCTTGGGCTATTACCTTATTCCTTTCACTGGGATTGTAGGACTGCTGGTTTTGGCCATGGGAGCACTAATGGTGAGTACCTCAGAACCTGATAGGAATAGCTGTTTTTTTTGTTTGTTTGTTTTGTTTTTTAGTTGTAGGTGAACATAATACCTACCTATTTTTATATGGTGCTGAGGATCAAACCCAGTGCCTCCCATATGCTAGCAAGCTCTCTACCACTGAGCTACAACCCCAGCCCCGACTGTTCAGTTTGTTCCATTAGCCTGATCCATCCACTCCCCTTTCCCCCAGATAGTTCGTTGCATCCAGCACCGGAAAAGGCTCCAGCGGAATCGACTTACCAAAGAGCAACTGAAACAGATTCCTACCCATGACTATCAGAAGGGTGAGGATATAGGGGAGGGAAGGGCCTTGCCCATAGCTTACTTGGTTTCTGAAGGAGTTAGATACCAGTAGATAAGGGGTACAAAGATGGCAGTAAGAAGGAGTCAACCTGAGATGTTATCCTCTTTACTCCCAAATATGATGAAGACAGGAGAGGGAAGTAAGAGCATGAAATGGAAACCATAGAGGACTAAGGTGGAATAGGTGGAAACATGGAATGACACACCTTAACAAGTAAGAGGAAGTGAGGTTAGAAAATGTAAAGTGGTGAGGATTCAGTCAGAAGAAACTGGTAGGGTTGAGTATTAAGGCCTTAGAGCCCTCAGTGCCCATATAAGGCTATAGCAGAAGTCCTGCCCGTTTCTACTCCTCCCACTCCATCTCTCCACCCTCACATCACCTCCCCCTAAACCCACTTCCCTTCTCTGTGCTTGTCCCCTCCACCCAAAATCTTTCATGTTCTACCCTGGCCTTTATTCTGCTTAACTCTTCCACTGTCTGTAGAATCAGGGAACACTTTTTTGAAGGGCTTAGATCTACCACAGGCCTTCTAGAGTTCTTGTGAGCCCAGTTCAGAATGGCTTAGTTAAGGACTAGATTCCTTTTTCTACTTCAGGAGACCAGTATGATGTCTGTGCCATTTGCCTGGATGAATATGAAGATGGGGACAAGCTTCGGGTACTCCCCTGTGCCCATGGTAAGGCCCTCACTGCCTGTGTGCAAAGCCCCCACCACTACCACCAAGGCACTAGGTAGGGTACCTCAACTCATTCCTCTCCATAGCCTATCACAGCCGCTGTGTGGACCCCTGGCTCACTCAGACCCGCAAGACCTGCCCCATCTGCAAGCAGCCTGTTCATCGGGGTCCTGGGGACGAGGATGAGGAAGAGACTCAGCGGCATGAAGAAGGCGATGAGGAGGGGGAGCCAAGGGACCACCCTGCCTCAGAACGGACCCCACTCCTGGGTTCTAGCCCCACTCTTCCTACTTCTTTTGGCTCCCTAGCTCCAGCCCCCCTTGTTTTTCCTGGACCCTCAACAGATCCCCCACCTTCTCCTTCCTCCTCCTCTTCTTCCTCCGCCATACTTGTCTAATACTCCCCCAACACTTGGCATTTCTGGTGACCTATTTGCACAGGCCCTCTTCTTCCGGTCTTCTAAATTCTGGTAAGGGAGAAACCTAGGCTGGAAATGGCCCCATCCTTCTGAGGGGTTGTATATTTGGGAGGGTCAAAGGGGATTTGGATCTTCACACGGGTTAATAAAATTGTTTTTGTGGACTAAGAAACGGGAAGGTCATTTTCACTCAGGTTAATCTTTTTTTTCCACCCTGAGGTGCTAGGGATTGAATCCAGGGCTTTGTGCTTGCTAGGTAAGCACTCTTATCACTGATCTACATCCACAGCCCCCACACAGGTTAATTTCTTATGCTTTTTTCTACTATAAAGGGACAGGGGAACATTGGAACAGACTAACCTGTAGTCATGGGGACAGCCCCAACAAGCATTTGCTGTGACTCAGAGAGGGGGAGCCCCACCTACAAAAGAGGATGACTCAACTAACTGGCCTTGCCTTGCCCTGCAGGCTTGGACCCATTCTCTGGTCTGAATGGCTTTATTCCATTATCTACCAATTCAACTAGCATTCACTTGAGGACCTAGGCCTGAAAATACCACTGTGGAGAAGGCAGGCCACCTGGACAGATACCTGAGGCAGGTAAAAAGGCCTGGACATGGGGGTATAAAGAGCAGAAAGCTCAAATACCTGGACTTAATAGTGC